TCCCTCCCCGATTCCCTCTCCATCGCTCAACATTATGGGACAGAAATAAATACTCATTGTCCAACTTCATGCTATTGACACTAGAGATAAGAACCGGATCATTAATGGGCTTTCTGTATTCGGGAAAGAGATTAACTCTTTCATGGTCTCAATTCCCTGAGGAAGGGCGTGTGGTAGAAAATAAGAGAAGAAAAAGGTCGCCGTTGTCGTTTTTTTTTCATCTCCTTCCCCCTAAAAGAGCAAGACTGGACCTTTGCAATACTAACAGTTCATTTGTATCACTATGAAGGTCTTCATTTAATCGACCCATCCATCTACAAGGACGATGACTACATGATGGCAGAATTCCATCTCTATGCATCTGGTCCTAACGCTATAATAGATAGCGCGAAGTACTGGGACGGTTCAGAACAGGGGCAGCAAAATGTACTTAACTGCATCGAACCTGCGTTGGAATGGACAAAGAACACAGGCATTTACACGTACTTTGGAGCATGGATGGCAGAAGATAATGCCAATATGGCTTTTGATGAGGAGGAAATCAAAAGCTTTGCAAGTTATTTTGTGGAAACCCTGAAAAAGAATGGTAAGGACTACACATTTCATTCACATTCACATTTCAGTTGTCAAATGCAGGAATATGCCTTTTTCTCTCTGGTGTCCCTCAGTGTCATTTGTCTTAACTTTGGTCAAGAATTAAAAAAAAACATCTTTAAAAGGATGTTATAAGATCTTTTAAAGCTAAAATGAATTTTGATATTAATTTAACTATATAGTTATTTTCTATTCTTGTTGTAAATATAAAACAATGAAACTGAAGTTCAGACCATGGTGTAAGCTCTGTTAGGACCAAACCCACCAATCTAGGATTCGGTTATTTTGTGTATGCGCGCCATGACGTGCGATAAGGTACGAATGATGCTAGAAAATAGGGCACACTCGAAAGCTGAATTTAATACAGTTATACTTTTGTTGAGTTTTTAAGACCCATTGTAGAAGTCCATTTAGGTTTTCTATTTCACTGTATAAAAACGTACCAAAACAATGACAATTTGGGTAGGAACTGTTGAGGTCAGCAATGATCGATAATCGATAGATAAAGGACAACAAGAGCAAGTGAAAGTCTTTAGGTTTTCTTGACTGAGGTTTAACTGTTCCTTTTCTATTGTTCCCCAGGTATCCCTTGGTCAATTAACGTCCTTGATCGCTACTACGACACCAAGGAAAGTGTATGGCTTAAAGATCAAACCATCGATGACAAGACCATCAACTTCAAAAGTGTCTTGGATGTCATCAAAAAGAATATGTAGAAATATTAAACATCATTAGATCGATAAGTACTGGGTGTATAACTTAGATGGGGCAGCGGTAACTTGACTGGGTTGGGCTAGAAATATACGACTCAAACACAATAAAGAAAACAATGTTTATCAATCGTGTGAATTAAATAAGATGTTCAATCTTTCATTAGTTTTTTATATTCTCGGATTTCAGCCCTTTTCTCTTCAAAAAATACACTTTATATAAAGACAAACCATATAACATTTCATTTCTAACAACTGTCAAATGTGAGATAACCCATTTTGATGGTCCCACCAAAATGGCCAAAAAAGGTCGACTTTTGACCAAAATGCATGGGCTATAGCCCACCAAAATGATCAAAAAAGGTCGATTTTGCCCACCAAAATGGCCAAAAAAGGTCGATTTTTGACCAAAATGGGCTATAGGCCACACTAATGGCCAAAAATGGTCGATTTTTGATCAAAAAGCATGGGCTATAGCCCACCAAAATGGCCAAAAAAGGTCGATTTTTGACCAAAAAACATGGGCTATANGGCTGTTTCAAATGCTTCGCGAATATTAACGAGAGTTTTCCGAAAGTCACCGAAAGCTTTCCGAGGTTAAACAAGTGAATGAACGGTTGGAAGAAGATTGCTTCAAGTAAAATCAAGATATTAATGAAAGTACACGAGATATTTACGAAATTATCCAGGCAAATTACATGACAAGGAGTCCAGAATCCGACAAAAGTTTGCCTCTTGGATCCGGAATCAGACACTTGGAATCTGGAATCCGAGGCCGCAATGATAACAGAATCCTATCAACCAAGAGGAAACCGAAAGACAAATTAGTGATTTTAAAATTGAAAAAGTTTCTTAATTGTCGCAGCGTCGCATTTATGGAATGGACCGATGAAGCATCACAGGTCACTTGAAATTAAAACTAAAAAACTCATCTGTTAAATGAAGCCTTTAATGAAGTTGTTTTAATCATTTTATTTATTATTCAAGCTACGTTTCTATTGAAGATATCTTGAAAGCAGCTTGGACTCTAGGATGGGCGCTACTATAAATATTATATTAAAATTATTGTAAACGATCGGGTCACTTACGACAAAAAAAGCTAGGACATGCTTTGCATTCTCAATCCAATATGGGAAATCCTTCATGGAACCAGAATCCAGCAACTTAGAAATCTAAATATTTTTACAAGAATGGCAATGCAGTCTATCGGAAACTGACTGCAAATATTCGAAATCTGAAATATCAACTTAATTTATTAATCGATCGAAGGTTTCAAAAACACTTTACACGAAAGCGGTCTTTAGAGTTGTCGGTACCATGACGCCCATCCAGTGCACAAACTATGCCATTAATAACCGCACACACATAGGGATTCATTGTAGACAATCTAGACTTGAACTTGGTGCCGTGTTCATTGGTTTGTATGTATTTAGTATATATCGCAATAAAACTATTTGTCCAAACGTTTTTTTTTTCGATGATGGAGAAAGTTTTCATGGACATTTTTCAAAGTAGAGTTGTTTTAATCAATATTATGCTATTTACTACCAAAAGGACTCCATCTTTGCCTATGTGCATTACTTGTCTCTATTTGCAAACTAACTATTTTAAAGTATTATAGTGAAAACGTGGAAATCACATTTCCAAGAGCAATCTAGTCTAAACACAACTGAATCCACAAAAACGAGAATTTTGCACAAAGTCTGAAATTAAGGATCAGCAAAAGTTTGTAGAAACATTACTTCAAACCATGTAAATCTAAACACTATACTTGATCTATTTAGACCAGCAGTAAGGTCTGCAAAACCTGAGAGCGGGAATTATTAGTAAAAATACTAATTTCTAGCTGTTGCTACCAGGACACCACATATACTATCCAAGTATGCTATTTCTACAATTATGTTAATAAAAGTAATATACTGCCGTGGGGGTCGGTTTCACAGGCTTCTGAAAACAACTCTAGAATGTTCCTATCAATATTCCATTAAAAGGTATTGCGTATTTAGGGACCCTGGTGATGATACAAAGTATAGATATAACCTGGTTTATCTAAAGGATTTGACAATCTATAAAGAGACATCGGTACAGCCATGAACAACCTCGCCATCACGATACGCTTTGCGCTTCTTCTTGCTATTTACCTGCCTATCTGCAATGGTCAAGATGACCCTATATTGCCTAAAGACTACAGGGACATCATCAAGCAAGGATTTTCAACAAATTACTTCAAGGTCGCACCAGAACGCATTGAAAAGAAGTACAAGGACAAGAACATCGACGATATCTATAAGGAAGGCTTTCGTAACCTCAGACTTCGTTCGCGCGCAGACCTCTACGATCCTCCCTACGATAACGACGACTTTAAGGTGTTTTTGGATAGATTAGAAGAGGTATTTAAGCTGGTTGAGAATTTGAAATTATAAAAATCAAGTCCGTTTATCATTTTTGTGGCTACCGCCATTATAAGATCACCCATAACCCGCAATATACTTTATGTTTTTTTGCTAGGAATCAAATTACATTTTCGAGAGAGATTCGCATGCTTTTCGGATGAATTTCGACTTATTTCCTTTGTTAAATGTGATTGCAAACAACACTTTCTCCCTCAGTGCTTATACTACCCGTGTTTGCTGTTGTTCTTTTGCGTGTTTCCAATAAACCGAAAACCCGGCCTGTTCAGCAGTGTAACAACTATTTGGTCTTAATTACAAACCCTATCTAACGTACTTGAAAAAGTTTCAAACAGTAAAAACAGTCTTAACTCCGACGAAAAACTAACGTCCAAAACGTCTGTAAATTATAACTACTTTTTTACGGTGTTAAATTTGTCTTTTTGCACAACTAATTCTTTAGAAACAGCAGCTGACATTTCAAGTTTACCGCTAGTTCCCACCGGTAAAATGCACTGGTACGTTTCCAGTTGAGGTCGTCCCACATGGAAGATTGAATTTTTCATCCGTCATAATGATACTATAATACTCTTCGTTGTTTATAGGTTGTTGACAAATGTCTTCAGACGGGTGTTGCCCCAATCATTTCATGGATAAATCATCACGCAGAAGCAAAACCTACAAGTGAAGAGAAAGAGAACTACATCAAGTGGTGGACTTTGGTTGCCGAGAAACTCAAGAACAAGGATTACAGACTGAGTTTTAACTTGTTCACAGAGCTTGGAATCGACAGTAATTGTGAAACTGACTGCGGTCAGAGTTTGAGGGAAAATACTGACAAGTACAATGAGTGGACCAGAGAGGTGGTCGACGCCATTCGTGGAACAGGAGACAACAACAAGAAACGAATCCTCATCCTCGCTTCCCCAGAGAAAACTGCTAAAGGTTTGTATGCTTTGCACAATAATTTTGATGTTTTTCAACAGTGATTATGTCCAATAACGAAGGTGCGTCCATACCAATTGCTCTTTTATGGCGAAAATGCCGCATAAAATATATTCCCCGTCACATCCCCGCTCCAAAGTTTCCTCTCCATCGCTCTGAGGAATGGCGCGCGGGAGAAAATTAGAGGAGAAAAAGGTCCACGTTGTCGTTTTTCTCCCGTTTACTTCCTCCTAAAAGAGCAAGACTAGTCCTTTGCAATGCTAAAACTTCGTTTGTATCATTATGAAGGTCTTCATTTAATCGATCCATCCATCTACAAGGACGATGACTACATGATGGCAGAGTTCCATCTCTATGCATCTGGTCCTAATGATAAAAAAGATAGCGCGAAGTACTGGGACGGCTCAAAACAGGGCCGAGATAATGTACGCGAGTCCATTAAGCCTGCGTTGGAATGGACAAAGGACACAGGRYTTTACACGTACTTTGGAGCATGGATGGCAGAAGATAACACCAAGATGGCTCTGGATGAAGACGAAATCAAAAGCTTTGCACGTTACTTTGTGAAAACCTTGAAAGAGAATGGTAAGGACAACACCATGTTCACATTTCAGTCGCTTAAATATGCCTTTTTCTCACTGATATCCCATGATCCCTCGGTGTCTTACTGAGAATTTAGTCAAGTTGTTTAAAATGAATATTGATATTAATTTAACTATATAGTTAGTTTCTAGTCTTGTTGTCAACTTAAAACAATGAGACTTAATGTCAGACCATGGTGTAAGCTCTGTTAGATACAAACCCACCAATATGATTCGGTTATTTTGTGTATACGTGCGATAAGGAACGAATGATGCTAGAAAATTGGGCACACTCGAAAGCTGAATCTTATACTTGAGTTTTATCCGAAAAAAATGCAGTTATACTTTGTTGAATTTTTAAGACCCATTCTAGAAGTCCATTTAGGTTTTCTATTTCGCTGTATAAAAATATACAAAAACAATGACAATTTGTAGGAACTGTTGAAGTCAGCAATGATCGAAAATTGATAGATAAAAATACAACAAGAGCAAGTCCAAGCTTTCAAGTTTTCTTGAGGTTTAACTGCTGCTTCTCTAATGTCACCCAGGCATCCCTTGGTCAATTAACGTTCTTGATCGCTACTACGACACCAAGCAATGTGTATGGCTTAAAGATCAGACCATCGATGACAAGACCATCAACTTCAAAAGMGTCTTGGCTGTAATKAAAAAAAATATGTAGAAATATTCATAGAATCGATAAGTAATGGGTGTATAACATAGATGGGGCAGGGTTAACTTGTGTTGGGCTAGAAATATAACTGAAACACAATAAATATTTATCAATCGTACGCATAGAATAATATAATCACTCTTTTATGTACAGTATTCTCGGATTTGAACCCTTTTGTCTATCACACTCTATATACAGATCCGTCCATCAAACTATACCACATTCCTTNAGAAGCCAAATTGAGACTGGCCCAGCAAAGACTTGAGGAGGGTGAGAAAAGACGGGCAGCGAGAAAAAAGAAAAGAGAAGAAGTCAGGCAAAAATATAACCTTAAATAGCGACAGTACGATACAATGCCGACATAAGCACGGTAGACCAGGGAACTATGGACGAAATTCGTCCGAGCATAATCGAAGGTCGGACGAGGCTGTTTCAAATGCTTCGCGAATATTAACGAGAGTTTTCCGAAAGTCACCGAAAGCTTTCCGAGGTTAAACAAGTGAATGAACGGTTGGAAGAAGATTGCTTCAAGTAAAATTAAGATATTGATGAAAGTCCACGAGATGTTTACAAAATTAACCAGGCGAATTACATGACACGGAGTCCAGAATCCGACAAAAGTTTGCCTCTTGGATCCGGAATCAGACACTTGGAATCTGGAATCCGAGGCAATGATAACAGAATCCTGTCAACAAAGAGGAAACCGAAAGACAAATTAGTGATTTTAAAATTGAAAAGGTTTCTTAATTGTCGCAGCGTCGCATTTATGGAATGGACCGATGAAACATCACAGGTCACTTGAAATTAAAACTAAAAAAACTCATCTGTTTAATGAAGCCTTTAATGAAGTTGTTTTAATCATTTTATTTATTATTCAAGTTACGTTTCTATTGAAGATATCTTGTAAAGCACCTTGGACTCTAGGATGGGCGCTACTATAAATATTATATTAATTTCATTATTGTAAACTAGTCACTTACGACTAAAAAAGCTAGGATGCTTTGCATTCTATATTCAATATGGGAACCAGAATCCAGGAACTTAGAAACCTATAAATATTTTTACAAGAATGGCAATGCAGTCTATCGGAGACTGCAAATATTCGAAATCTGAAATATCAACTTAATTTATTAATCGATCGAAGGTTTCAAAAACACTTTACACGAAAGCGGTATTTAGAGTTGTCGGTACCATGACGCCCATCCAGTGCACAAACTATGCCATTAATAACCGCACACACATAGGGATTCATTGTAGACAATCTAGACTTGAACTTGGTGCCGTGTTTTGGTTTGTATGTATTTAGTATATATCGCAATAAAACTATTTGTCCAAACGTTGTTTTTCTTTCGATGATGGGGAAAGTTTTCATGGAAATTTTTCAAAGTAGAGTTTTTTTAATCAATATTATGCTATTTACTACCAAAAGGACTCCATCTTTGCCTATATGTGCATTACTTGTCTCTATTTGCAAATTAACTATTTTACAGTATAGTACAATCTAGTCTAAACCCAACTGAATCCACAAAAACCAGAATTTTGCACAAAGTCTGAAATTAAGGATCAGCAAAAGTTTGTAGAAACATTTTACTTCAAACCATGTAAATCTAAACACTATACTTGATCTATTTATAGACCAGCAGTAAGGTCTGCAAAACCTGAGAGCGGGAATTATTAGTAAAAATACTAATTTCTAGCTGTTGCTACCAGGACACCACATATACTATCCAAGTATGCTATTTCTACAATTATGTTAATAAAAGTAATATACTGCCGTGGGGGTCGGTTTCACAGGCTTCTGAAAACAACTCTAGAATGTTCCTATCAATATTCCATTAAAAGGTATTGCGTATTTAGGGACCCTGGTGATGATACAAAGTATAGATATAACCTGGTTTATCTAAAGGATTTGACAATCTATAAAGAGACATCGGTACAGCCATGAACAACCTCGCCATCACGATACGCTTTGCGCTTCTTCTTGCTATTTACCTGCCTATCTGCAATGGTCAAGATGACCCTATATTGCCTAAAGACTACAGGGACATCATCAAGCAAGGATTTGCAACAAACTACTTCAAGGTCGCACCAGAACGCATTGAAAAGAAGTACAAGGACAAGAACATCGACGATATCTATAAGGAAGGCTTTCGTAACCTCAGACTTCGTTCGCGCGCAGACCTCTACGATCCTCCTTATGATAACGAGGACTTTGATAAGTTTTTGGATAAACTAGAAGAGGTATTTAAGCTGGTTGACAATTTAGAATATATTAATCAAGATTTGTATCATTTTTGTGGCTACCGCCATTATAAGGTGCGCAATCACTATGCTAAGAAGTAAAGAACTAAAATAACATTTTCGGGAGAGGTCCACATGCTTGTCGGATGAATTTCGAATGATTTCCTTTGTTTAATGTGACTCCAATCAATAGAGTGCACGCCACATAAGCATGAAACAATTCTTAAGTAATTAGCGCCTAATAAGATTTAGTTATCAACTAACTAAGAATTTCGTGAGGCATAAACAAAGACAAGTTTCCTTTCTGGCATTGTGTTCATGACCCAGTGAATTCTTAGTTAATTGATAACTAAATCTTATTAGATGTTGATAAAGAATTGTTTCATGCTTTTTTGGCGTGCACTCTACTTTCTTCCTCCTTATACTACCCGTGTTATTATTGCCGTCCATGTGTGAGTTTTTTCATTTTGAAAACCCTGTTTACTGTAACTATTTGGTCTTCATTCTTAACCCTATGTAACGTACTTGAAAACGTTTCAAACAGTAAAATGCACGAATTTGTTTCCAGTTGATGTCGTCCCACATGGAAGATTGCATTTTCATATTATAATCYTACTATATTCTCCGTTGTTTATAGGTTGTTGACAAATGTCTTCAGACGGGTGTTGCCCCAATCATTTCATGGATCAATCATCACGCAGAAGCATACGCTACAAATGAAGAAAAACAAAACTACATCAAGTGGTGGACTTTGGTTGCCGAGAAACTCAAGAACAAGGATTACAGACTGAGTTTTAACTTGTTCACAGAGCTTGGAATCGACAGTAATTGTGAAACTGACTGCGGTCAGAGTTTGAGGGAAAATACTGACAAGTACAATGAGTGGACCAGAGAGGTGGTCGACGCCATTCGTGGAACAGGAGACAACAACAAGAAACGAATCCTCATCCTCGCTTCCCCAGAGAAAACTGCTAAAGGTTTGTATGCTTTGCACAATAATTTTGATGTTTTTCAACAGTGATTATGTCCAATAACGAAGGTGCGTCCATACCAATTGCTCTTTTATGGCGAAAATGCCGCATAAAATATATTCCCCGTCACATCCCCGCTCCAAAGTTTCCTCTCCATCGCTCTGAGGAATGGCGCGCGGGAGAAAATTAGAGGAGAAAAAGGTCCACGTTGTCGTTTTTCTCCCGTTTACTTCCTCCTAAAAGAGCAAGACTAGTCCTTTGCAATGCTAAAACTTCGTTTGTATCATTATGAAGGTCTTCATTTAATCGATCCATCCATCTACAAGGACGATGACTACATGATGGCAGAGTTCCATCTCTATGCATCTGGTCCTAATGATAAAAAAGATAGCGCGAAGTACTGGGACGGCTCAAAACAGGGCCGAGATAATGTACGCGAGTCCATTAAGCCTGCGTTGGAATGGACAAAGGACACAGGRYTTTACACGTACTTTGGAGCATGGATGGCAGAAGATAACACCAAGATGGCTCTGGATGAAGACGAAATCAAAAGCTTTGCACGTTACTTTGTGAAAACCTTGAAAGAGAATGGTAAGGACAACACCATGTTCACATTTCAGTCGCTTAAATATGCCTTTTTCTCACTGATATCCCATGATCCCTCGGTGTCTTACTGAGAATTTAGTCAAGTTGTTTAAAATGAATATTGATATTAATTTAACTATATAGTTAGTTTCTAGTCTTGTTGTCAACTTAAAACAATGAGACTTAATGTCAGACCATGGTGTAAGCTCTGTTAGATACAAACCCACCAATATGATTCGGTTATTTTGTGTATACGTACGATAAGGAACGAATTATGCTAGAAAAATAGGCACACTCGAAAGCTGAATCTTATACTTGAGTTTTATCCGAAAACAAATGCAGTTCTACTTTGTTGAATTTTTAAGACCCATTCTAGAAGTCCATTTAGGTTTTCTATTTCGCTGTATAAAAATATACCAAAACAATGACAATTTGTAGGAACTGTTGAAGTCAGCAATGATCGAAAATTGATAGATAAAAATACWACAAGAGCAAGTCCAAGCTTTRAAGTTTTCTTGAGGTTTAACTGCTGCTTRTCTAATGTCACCCAGGCATCCCTTGGTCAATTAACGTTCTTGATCGCTACTACGACACCAAGCAATGTGTATGGCTTAAAGATCAGACCATCGATGACAAGACCATCAACTTCAAAAGMGTCTTGGCTGTAATKAAAAAAAATATGTAGAAATATTCATAGAATCGATAAGTAATGGGTGTATAACATAGATGGGGCAGGGTTAACTTGTGTTGGGCTAGAAATATAACTGAAACACAATAAATATTTATCAATCGTACGCATAGAATAATATAATCACTCTTTTATGTACAGTATTCTCGGATTTGAACCCTTTTGTCTATCACACTCTATATACAGATCCGTCCATCAAACTATACCACATTCCTT